GGGGGGGTCCCCACACCCCCTCATTTCGGGGAGGGGGTGGTCAAGTCCAGGTTTAGGGGCATCCCTGTTCCCCCTTTCTGGGAGGGGTCACGTCCAGGTTTTGGGAGGGGGTCTCCCTGTTCCCCCTTTCTGGAGGGGGGGTCAGATCCGAGTCTCTGGACAGGAGGGGGTTCTCTGTTCCCCCCATTTCATGGGGGTGAAGTCCAAGTTTAGGGGGGTCCCCATTCCCCCTTTCTGGGGGGGTCAAGTCCAGGTTCAGGGGGGTCCCCGTTCCCCCTTTCCGGGGGGCTGGAATTGAGTCTCTGCGCAGGAGAAGAGGGTCCCCACCCCTCACTTTCTTTTGGGGGGGGTCAAATCTGGGTCTCCTGCACGTTCTCCTTGGAGGGGCTCTTGAACAGCAGCGGCTCATGCACCGAGTTGAGCAGAGGGGTCTTCCCGCACCCCAGCGCCGCCGCCGGGCCCCCGTAGTGGGCGGCCAGCGCCGCGTACCTGTCCAGGTGCTCCCTCTCCAGCGCCGGCAGCGCCAGCCTGTTGTCCCCCGACGTCCCCACCCCCCCTGACGTGCCCCCAACACCCCCCCCGCCCCCGCCGGGCCCCCCCGAGAGCTCGTCCTCGACGTTGACGATCTCCACGGCGCGCGCGGGGCCCCCGCGGTGCTTGTGGCGCTGGTGCTGCTTGCGCAGCTTGTAGAAGGCCACCAGCATCACGGCCGCCATGAAGGTGATGGCCACGAAGCACCCGATGATGATCTTGGTGGTCTTCAGCACGTCGTCCAGGTCTTGGAGACCCCCTCCCGCCGCCCCGGCGCCCGCCGCCGCCGCGGCGGTGATGGGCACCGTGAAGGGCTTCCCCGTGGCGCGCGTGGCCGGCGCTGCCGTGGAGCCGCCAGAGGGGTCCCACCCGGGCGCCGTGGGTGCCGGCGGGGTCTGGGGGGCTTGTTCTTCGCTGCCGCCCTCGGTGGTCTCTACGGTGACCGTGGTGAAGTAGGTGTAGCCCGTGGCCGCGGCTGCGGCGGCGGCGGCGGCCGCGGCGGCGTCGGCGGCCGAGACGTTGAGCGTGGCCGAGGCCGTGGTGTTGCCGGCGGCGTTGGTGACCATGCAGGTGTACTGGCCCGTGTCCTGCACCGTCACGTTGGTGAAGTTGAGCGTGCCGTCGTGCAGCACCGAGATCCTCACCCGGTACGAGCCGTGCGTCATCAGCGTCCCGTTGGGCGTCAGCCAGTTGACCGAGGTCATGGCCGTGCCCGTGCGGCACTTGAGCTCGGCCGCCATGCCCTCGGTGACGTTGAGGTCGGCCGGCGGCTCCACGATGACGGGCGCGTAGCAGGTGAAGTGGCCCGGCTCCAGCTCGCCCAGGTAGCGGCCCCGCAGCGCCGGCGGCGCGTGGCACCGGGCGCAGCAGCTGGTGTTGCTGGGCACCGTCTCCCGCAGCCACCAGCTGAGCCAGAGCACGTCGCAGTCGCAGCGCCACGGGTTGTGGTGGAGGTGGACGCGCTCCAGGCGGTGCAAGGGGGCGAACAGGTCGTGGGGCAGCGAGGCCAGGTCGTTGTGGGCCAAGTTGAGCTCCTCCAGGGCTTTGAGGTCGTCGAAGGCGTTCCTCTCCACCGCCGCCACCCGCGCGTGCATCAGCCACAGCTTCCTCAGGCTCCCCAGGCCTTGGAACGACCCCGGGCGCACCCGGCCCAGCCGGTTCCCCGACAGCTCGAGCTCCTCCAGCCTCACCAGGGCAGTGAGGTTGGGGATCTCCTTGAGGTTGCACATGCCCAGGTTGAGGTAGCGCAGGTTCACCAGCCCCTCGAAGGCGGCCTCCGAGATGTACTCGAGGCGCTTGAGCTCGCCCAGGTCGAGGCGCCGCAGCGACGGCACCCGGTTGAAGGCGTAGGACGGGATGCTCTCGATGGGGTTGTTCCTCAGCCACAGCTCCCTCAGCTTGGAGAGGTACTCGAACGCCTGGGTGGGCACCGTGGTGAGCCGGTTGTCGAACAGCTCCAGGGTGTTGAGGTTGGGCAGCCCGTTGAAGGCGCCCACCTCCACCTTCCGGACCAGGTTGCGGCTGAGCTGCAGGATCTCCAGGTGCCGCAGGTGCTTGAAGGTGTCGGTGCGGATCACCTGGATGTGGTTCTCCTGCAGGTTCAGGTAGCGGGTGTTCACCGAGATGCTCGAGGGCACCTCCAGCAGCTCGCGCCGGGTGCAGATCACCCGGCTCGCCTGGTTGCTGCAGGTGCAGGCGGCCGGGCAGGGCGTGGGCGCGGCCCCCGGCACCGCCGGCGCCGCCAGGAGCAGCAGCAGCAGCAGCAGGACGGGCGCTGGCGGCGCTGGGGACGCCGCTGGCATCTTAAGGGGCGCCGGGGCCGCCATGGCCAAGGGGCATCTCCAGCTTCAGGGCCCCGGGTGGTGCTGGGAGAGAGGGGAGAAGGGGGTTAGAGGGGTCCTCGGGGGGAGACCGGGGAGTCAGGAGGGGTCTGGGGGGGGCCCAGAGGGAGATAAGGGGGGCTAAGGGGTGCCCAAGGGGGGTCAGGAGGGGTTTGGGGGAGGTATGAGGAGTCCCCAGGGGGAATTAGTGGGTCACGAGGGGTCAAGGGGGTTCTGTAGGGGTCCACAGAGGGAGATAAGGGGACCTAGGGGGTCCTCAGGGATCTGGGGGGGTCCTCCAGGGGAGATTGGGGGGTCAGGAGGGATCGAGGAGGGTGGCCAGGGGGAGATAAGGGGGTCTAGAAGGGTCCTCAGGGGGAGACTGGGGGGTCGCCAGGGGGGTAAGGAGGGGTCTAGGGAGGTCTAAGGGGGTCCTCAGGAAAAGAGAAGGAGATCTAGAGGGGTCCCAGGGGGAGATAAGGGGGTCAGGAGGGATCGGGGGGGGGCCTGGGTGGTCCACAGGGGGAGACTGGGGGGTCTGGGGAGTCCCTGGGGAGTCTCCAGGGGGACACCAGAGGCACCCGTGTGCTCACACATGTGAACATCCCCCCCACACGTATGAACACCCCACATACCAAGCACACACACGTGAACACACATATGTGAACACCCCCACATACCAAGCACAGACGTGTGCACAGCCCTGCTGCTGCCTCAACACACACGTGTGCACACACATGTGAAAACCCCAGGCAACATGTCCCAGAGCACATCCATGTGCATTGACACACGTGTGCACCCCTCCCTGCACACACACGTGTGTAACGTGTCCCAGAGCACATCCGTGTGCATTGACAC